TTTTTAAACTAATACATATATGTTGAAAATTTTTTACAAAATAGGCAGCCAAACTCATTGAGACGGAGACAGTGGGGATTACACATCCCGGACTTCAACTTCTGTACTCCATCTACAAAAATCTGGCCGCCATGTCCCTCCAGAAGGGGGATCATGAGGAGGCAATGGAGTGGTACATAGAGGTAAAGATTTAGGGTACACCTGTACCAGGCTTTATTTTAACCTGTAAGGAAACTTGTACTGTGGTATGATATAGCTGTGGGTTTTTCTTCTTCAGGCAGTCAAAGTTGATGAATCAGAGACAACGGTTTGGTACAAGATAGGGACAATAGCTCTGAAACTTCATAATTATCAACTTGCCAGGCTAGGATTTGAACAGGTATGAACAAATATAGTATTCGAGGATCTTATAGAGTTATTGATTAAAAAAAAGTATTTTGGTTTTTTTTACAATGAAAAAAAAAACAACTCAAAAATGTTCAATTCAATTCACTTTATTTATTATTACTATGTTGTCATACAGTCAGGAACATTAATAACATATTTATTCCTCTGCATGGCAGGTACTTAAAGGATTTCATTCTCCATTTTCAGGGCCTGCAGTGCAACCCAAATCACTGGCCATGCCTGGACAACATCATCACAGTTCTATACACCATCAATGATTACTGGTGTAGGTTTGGTATATTTGTCTTGAAAAAAAGAAGAGTTTTCTGAAGTATATGCAGGGCTCGACATTAACGCTTGTCCGCTTGTCCTGTACCAATGAAAAATAAATTCGGACAAGTGAATATTGCTGGGCACTTGTCCGATTGGACAAGTTCATTTTAATGTAAAGGGGTCTCTAAATAATAAAAGGAACAACTGTTGAAAGCTAAATCGGTAGTCTCAACTCAAGACGGAAGCTGTACATAAAATCCAAACTTCGATCCCGATATGTATCGCTATTGAGTTCACATTCGATCGGGATCGCAGTTCACTATAATTGCACTGAAAAGTCATGGAAGATACGAATAGAAGTAGTGAATATTGTTTGACGTTGACAGATTCAATTGTGGACATTTATGTTATTGTCAGGACAGAAAGCCTAAATTAAATTTCGTTTTATCTGTCTGTAACAATAACATCAAGAATCAAGCAAGCGCATGACACGTGTAAATAAATGGACTTAATTTTAATTTTCAAGTTGAAACTATTGAACTTTATTGAAAATTTTCGGACTAGTGAAGTTGAAATTCGGACAAGTAAATGTCTTGGTCACTTGTCCGAATGGACAAGTAGGAAAAAAAGTTAATGTCGAGCCCTGTATATGAGAATTGTTACATGTATTAGTCTAGTTTAAGTAACAAGGGAAGGAAGAGGAAATAAAAAGAAATGCAAGACAAAAAAAAAGAAATCACAGATTCATGAGTGATTTTATAATCAACAAACAAGAAATAATTTGATTTCATTCTAGAAAAATGTTCAATAAGATTAATAGAATCATTCATTACTACGAGTGGGGGATAGTGAAATTCCACCGAGGGGACAAGATTCACAGTCTAGGACGAGGCTTGGCCCCGAGGTATTATCTGAAAGTGTAAACTAAAAAATTAATTTCAATCCCCTTAAAACTGCCTAAACTGAAATAGTTTTTAAAAAACGTCCGTGAACGTTTAATTCATTTCAGAAAAATCCTTCCGCGAACTAAAAATAGCCCTATTCAAAAAGTGAAAAAACAGCAGTCTTTTGAATGAAAATAAATTTAATTTAATAAATAAAAGAACAACATTTTAATCATATATGATAATATTATTATAAATTATTACAATGTTTATATAAGAAGGAATGTTTACATTCGAAATGTCTTTGCATAATGTGACATACATATGCATGTGTGAAACATGTTGAAAAGTCTAGTCAGAGTCGGAGTCAATAACACGGATTCGCTTCCGAGATTGGTAAGAATTGTTTGTGATATTAACAGTGATGTTCCCATGTATTTGAGACCCGCTAAATATGGATCCAAAAGAATGTTGTGAGCTTGAGGAATGCTGCATATTGACCTGGTTGTTTTGAGTTTCAATGGCGGTATTATCTGAAATTGGTGTCAAGTCGAAGGACGGGAGTGCATTTGTCACTGTAGAGCTGGGCAGCGCTCTGGTTGATGATGATTCAAAACGAGAATGTTTTGGTGCAGAAGAATTTGAGAATGGAACCAGTGAGGAATTATTACAGGATGAATTTGATAAAATGCTGCTTATTGCGTATTTCTGTGAGTCATTTATTGTGCGGTAGTTATTCAATGACTGAATGTTTTTGTGACCTGTTACGTACACTTGTCATGTATCAGGGACATTCGAATCCGTCATCCTTTGGACCAGGGTTTTCCGGACACTCGTGTTTGTGATTTTCTTATTATCAGGTAGGCCTGCATTTTTTGACATTCTTTTCATTAGGTCATTAAGTTTGTTGACACCCATGGGGCTAGAAATAAACCATCGGTCCTGCATTTTAGGGCGTTTTTCGTTTGTTACTACAGAAATGTAAAAGGGGTCTTCATGTTTTGAATATCCGTCTGGGCGTTTATCTCTATACAAAATGTAGGTGGATACGGGACATTTTTCAGGGGTCTCAGGGGTTGCATACATCCGTGGTGGGCAGGCACGGCTATCAGTGACATCCACACCAGTTCTAGTTTTGGTTGCCCTTTCGTGATATTCTAAGAAGTCAAGTTGAAGTGCCTCATCCCTTTTCAAGACTACATCACCCCATTTCATGTTTCGATGTTCTGTCCCCCCTCGCATGCCAAAATACAACGTATTATTGAACCATAGTGTGCTTATCAACGAGGTTGGTGTAGTTTTCCCCAGTTGTTCAGTCTTGAAGAGAGTTTCAATTTCATCATGAGTTAAAGAGTCGGACCTTTGGGGTTTGTTTCCACGCCCTTGCGCTTTTAAATCTTTTTGTTTTGCTTTTAGGGCCTCTCTGCACTGCGCAAATTCAAAGCTTGTAATTAACGAAAACTGATACCGATGACGTTTTAAGTGTCTTTCAAAGCTCCCTATCATTCCCCTAAGACTTGAAGGTTCATATTCTTCGCCAGATTTTGTGTGGACATTCACAATAAAGTTTGACAAGAGGGGGTCCAACTCATTCGGGGGTATATTGTAAATTTCTCTTGACTCCCCTTTAATTTCAAAATACTCACGTAAAATGTTCAAATGGCCCATTGTTTTTCGTAAAGTGTTTGAGTTTTCATTTGCTTCAATAAAAGTAGATGTTTCCACATTTTTGAATCGCACACTTGTACTTGCACCCTCCATGATAATTATTTATTTATTGCAGACGATATTGTTTACATTTAAAAAGTAGTACCGTTATAGCGTAGTAATACATAGTGTAAGACAGAAAAATCTCACACTGCTGTCTCACACGGGAGAAGTCTATCTAACACCGATGATTATGCGAGAAAAACTTATCAATAAAAATCACTTTGGAGTGTCAAAATACTGTATGCAGGGAAATTTTCGCCCCGTTTTATTTTCGCCTATGTTCACAAGTGGGCTAATTTAAAACGGGATGAATTCAAAGAACACAGTATTAATTCTAAACAGAACTGTTTCTGGGTGAATTTAAAATGGGGCATAAATGTTTGCAGGTGTGAAAGGGCGAAAATAAACGGGACAAAAATAACCCTGTATACAGTAATAGAGATATTGAAGGTCTTTTTACTATGTAAAAATCAGAGCTGTTAAAAGTACAATTTGATAAAATCAATGCTACTTTATGTCTGATTTTCAGATTGTCTTTACTATATATCCAAGGCTTTGAAGAAAGACTATTTGTACCCCAAGGGGATTGTTTTCAGGAATCAAATACTTAAGGAACAACCATCCCTAAAAGAGGCTACTCAAGAAATGTTTAAAGAATGGTAAGATGAACATTTTGAAATTAAAAAAAAGTTAGTTATGAAACTCCTTTGTCATTTATATGAACTACGATGTCTGTGGTATCCCAAATTCCAAATACCATGCTATAGGATACAATGTATTGGTATTGAGACATAAAAAATACTCAAGGCAATATAGAATTCAATGTTTGTTATCTTTTTTATAGCAATCCACTAATCGATACAGAGAAAGTTGAGCAAGAGGATATAGATGAGGTATGTGTTCTTCATGAGGATTCTGAGGTTATGCCTCATTTTGATTTGTCTTCCTTTTGATAAATGAAATTGATATTTAAAATCATCTGATTCTGAAGCTCTTTTATCTTCCTACAGTATGTGAATGAGGCATTGAAGATGCGACAGAAAAGAAGGGAATTGGCCAGAACTCCCCCGATGAAGCCCAACAAACTGCCAGTTCCTGTAAAATCATATACGTAAGTCACAAACTGTTGAGTCGTATATGCAAGTAACAAACTGTCAGTTGCACTTCATCCATAAACTGCAAGTTGGAATGAGTTATTGACTATTGACCTGTAATATAGCAAACTCTCAAAGAATTTAAGTGTTTTATGAATTTTTTAAAAATTTTATATCAGGTGGTTGTCCTTGGGTGAAAGCTTGATCGCATTGTATGACCATATAAAGAAAGCCACCCCACCAAAGGTCAGTTCAAGGCTTTTTCTATTTCCATAGTTTATCAGGATGTGTAAAAATGTTTACACAAAGTAAATACATCTTGAAAATCATTTGGAACTATTTTAGACATTCTTTTTTTTGTAACAGAGTTTGAGTATCGGGGTTGACTTGAGTGACTATGCTCCAGACAAAAGCAAAAGTAAAGAAATCCAAAATGAAGCACCAAGTGAACCTGCAAGCTCCACAATTTCCTCTTCAGAATTGCCTCCACCTGTAGAAAAAATAGATGTCTCAAAACCTGAGGAAATGGAGGTTGATCACACCCCTGAGGCAGAAAATGTGACAAACGTCATCTCAACTGATAGTGTATCTGACACTGCTGTCAGCTCAACTACTGTCAGTTCAACTACCACCAATTCAACTGTGGTCAGTTCAACTGTCAGTTCCACTACTGTCAGTTCTACTGCTGTCACTGTCAGCAGTGATACTGCTGTAGTTCCAGCTTTGCCAGCTAGTGACAACATCCTTGTTACCAGTAGTGACACTAATACTGCTGCTCCAGAGAGTGAAGTGATAATGACTTCTTCCACTCTGACCTCTGAACCAGAGAATGTTACTGTGACCGTGACCTCTGAACCTTCAGATGTGTCAAATTCATTTACAACTTTGTCTGCTATTCCAATTTCAGGTATGCTAAACGTGGAAATTTAAATATTACAGTACTGCACCCCATACTACATCTATTTGTATATAATTAACTCAATATTAACAATATGTTATCTTTGTAATTTTGAAACACACCCAGTGCTGATAGTTTTTGTTACAAATACTTGTAACTTTTCAGCAAATTGCATGGATTTTTCAAAGAAGTTTCTATGTTAGTTTTTTAAAAAATATATCTCTTCTTTGTTGAATGTAGTGACATCTGCATTACAAGATCACCCTGGGTCAGAAAACAGTGACACTGAGAGCAAGGGCAAAGGTCAAAAGAGGAAGAAGTCATCCAATTTTGATAACCCGTACTACGAAAAACGACGATCAGCCAGGGTAAAAGGAAAAGAACATATAGATTAAAATTGATAAGTTAGAGAAAGATTATGTATTCAATACATTAAGGGTATTTTACATTGTATGTACCTTTCATTTATTATCTGCTGTGAATTTTATGAGGAAAATTAATTGTTTGTACATTTACTTATACTTTAAGTTTAAAATTGATTGTCCTGAATATTTTGATAGTCTTTATTTTGGAAATCTTTTATTACAAAAATTTGAACATGTAATTGTGTTCATATTAAAATTCTGTGATATCTTAAATATTACAGATATTAGAATGCCTATGTAAGAGATATTACTTGATGATAAATTGAATTTACGATTGACTTTGGACAGGTGAGGAACACTTTTACACGAAGAGAGGAGGAACGAGTGAACTTCCGAGAGATCTTAGAGACATTTATACCTCCCAGTCTCAGGTAAACAAAAAATATGATTTTGATAATGAATAATGTCCAAATAAAAAAAGTCATTACAAGGAGTGCATTTGTATACATGTAGTTGGAATTTTGAACTCTTTAGTTTTCCGTAAGTCATTGCGTGTGTATCTACATGTACATGAATATTTTTGGGATATACACAGCACTGTAAGTGTATATCAGCACCCTTTGGGTAGTGTTTAATATAGAAAATAATCTTGGCCTATGAATATTGCACACATGTAAAAGAATAAAAATGCTTGCAGTGTAAATTCATAACTGGACTGATAAGTATATGATTTTACAAATCAGGCTAAATTTTAAATTCACCTAAATTGGTAAGCACACCATCCATGCACATTTTCAATGTTAATGTCCATATGTATGTAATTGTTTTTGAAGGTCTGGAGTTGATGAGGAGGAAATGGAAACCTTGGATCTTCTTTCTGACAGTGAAGGATCTGTTTTTACTAAAACCAATAAAACTGGTAAGTAAGTCACACTTTAAAGAGTTAGTTAGTACTTCACCCTTTATTTCGAGGGAGTCAATTTACTAAATCCAGTAAGACTGATTTAGTACCATTTATTTCCATTTAGTACCACACCCACTAGAATTATACCACAGCCTAGATTCTAATCTAATGGATTAATTTCAGAAAGTGGAACAGTATCAAAGGCAAAGCCGTTATCAGATACAGAGGAAAATGAGGTCAGGGAATTCCTTGAGAGAGAACAGAAGAATGGCGGCCTGCTTAGTTTGATGTTACATTTTCTGGAGTGTCTGTGTGATAGGGCAGAGCTGGCCTGGCCCCCAGAGCTCGCTTCGGTCTTTGTCAGGATATATACGAGATGGAGGAGACATACAGACTTGCCATGTTTACTCAGGTTAGTTTATCGTAAGTTGAAAATTCATGGTCTGCTTTTAGAACTCACCTGTACTATCCTAAGTTGAAATTTCATGGTCAGCTTTTTGTATCCAACCTGTATTTTATAAAGTATAGAAATTTTATATGACTACAGTGATCTTTCTTTTGATACAATGTTTTTTGTAATTGGGTAAATTCTCAATCTTAAATTATGATCTGGGATAAAAGCGCATTGAAATCAGTGGCGGATCCAGATGTTCATATGGGGGGGTTTTGAGGCCCAAAGGGCCGAAGGGGGAGGGCATGGGAGGGGGTGTCCCCCTCCCATAGGTGGGGGTTCGGGCCTCCCCCGAGAAAATTTTGTTTTAAATGGTTCTAATTGGTGCATTTTCCAGCATTTTGGGGGTACTTTTTGTGGCTTTTTTAAAGACTGATCATCACAATTTTTAATAAAATGTTTTCAATTTAATTTAACTTTAACACAAGACTTTAGACTTTGCCTTAAAAAATTGTTAAATCTGCCAATTTTAGGAATGCAAGCAGTTGACTTCAAGTTGTCTTTACTTTAAATGCACCTACAATTAATTTAGTCCTATGACAAGCTGACTTCCAAGATACAACTAATGTGCAAACACTGAAAAAATTAGAAATTGAATTATTTTCAGAATCCCTGACTAGTGCTTTTCAACTTACCGTTACTTGTGTATAATATACTGATAACTGTTAATATGATTTGGAATAGAAACACACGTGTTCATTAATAAAATTTCAAACTGAAGAAAAAATTACATAAACTGGAGAATCTGTCAAAACTAGAGGGGTTTGCCAAGCCAACTTGGTTTTGTTAAAAAAAAATATATTAATTTTAATTTTTAAAATGGTAAAAAAACTAAATAATAGTTTATTCATAGTTTAAAAAACATGCATTTTATCAGCAAAAGAATATTACTGAGCAGCACCGTAACTATGCAGTTTTCTGTTGTTGGTACCTGATTACATTGTACTGTGACCTTGTGACTTCACTAGATGCACGGCCTACCCGATCTCTGAGGCATTCTCTCTGTTGATTACCTGTGTATTGTGTGCGTTCAAGCGGAAAGTGATTTCCTGTTACGTAGTTGTGTATTTCACAGTTGTAAAAACAAAGGGTTAATATTTATTAGAATCTTATCAATGCAACAAAATGATGAAATGACACTTGTAAAAAAAAAATTCAATGAGCGGGGTAATAACGACTTTTTTCTCGTTATTACGACTTTTTTACTGGAAATATATGTAACTTATTGTATTATTTTTGTTTTATGCAGTAAAAATGAACCAGAAGAAGACATAAGAGTGTTCGGAAAGGTTTGTATGATACAAGTTTTTGCTTATTATTTTTTTAAATGTGCCAGATTTTAATTTTCCTGATTTCCATCGCTTACTGAATAGCTTAAAAATCCAGTACAGCTGTACCAGGTAAAAAGAAATGTTATCTTCATTATTTTAAAGAAAAATGAATATTGAAATTCTTAACTAATTGGTAAATCTTGTTTCAGATGTTGCTAATGAAGCTGGAGTTTCAGTTTGATCAATGGTTAACCAAGCACCTCAGAAGTGGAGCCTCACCTAAAGGGTAATCTATCCATACACATGTACTTCTATTCACCATCACTGTGAACGAAGTTTCTTACATAAAAGCATGCAATGCTATGATTCACATAATTACTTTACAAAGTTAATCAATTTCAGTTTGAAAAAAAATAAGATAAGTACATGTACTAGGACACTGTATGAACTTTTATGTAGGATTTACATTCTGTATGCATGTAAAATATAACATACATTGTACATGTACTTTACTTGACTTAAATTTAACCTTTATATCTGTTGATTTCTGCTAGTAAATCTCAAGAATTTAATATTTTCCTTATATTCCTTAATAGTAACACTCTTCTCACTGCAGGAAAAGTCCTGGGTCAGGTCTTCCATCAGAGATGCCCAAGTTCTGGGAGGAAGACATGGATTACATATTTGGGTTACAGGGTCAGTCAGAGGTCATGGGACCTTTGTGGTTACAGCACTGTGTCAGAGGTAGGATTGACTGTCAGTCTGTCAATAAAGGGTGAGGTGGGGGTAGGGGGGGAGCTAAAACTGTCAGAGTAAGTCTTAGTAAGAATGTATGAATTGGCAAAATGCTGGAAGGCTGGAAATTGTAAATTCAATACAAAAATTGTGTATCAGTCAGGGATGTAAATTTTAAAAGTTAATGGTCTCAATAGCTTTGCAGCTGTTTATGAAAAGTAAGTGTATTTTTATCCTTTCAAAGCTTTCTGGCTGCAGGCTCGGCTGTGTCTACTACAGGGAAAAATTCAGTATGCTTCATGCAGCTTTCACAAGGTAAAGCCGTGATCAGTTTTTGTCTTACCTGTGTCAGAAATAAGATGTTATTGCATAATGATTCTTTATTGTGAGTTCATAAAAATTATTTCCATTCCTAGGCAAAAGAATTTTTGAAATGGAGAATTGAAGATGAAAATGCCCCAGAGATTTTCTTGCAGAACTGCCAAAGTGACAACTTGCTTTCAATAGGTATTTTATACTGGCATTTGAAAGAATAAGAACATCATGCTTGGTAAAATATACCATATTTTTTTGCTGTTTGATATGCACTCTCATTCCAGAAAGCATAGATCGGCATCAAGATTCCTTGGAGAGAAGTCAGTCCATGGATGAAATGCAAAAATTGTTTGAAGCCAAAGAATTTGAAAAAGTGGTGGAACTTTTGTTAAAGGCCGTTAACCAACCCAGTCAGAAATCTATGGTAGGTTATGTTTTAGTATGGTCAGATCTTGTTTGCAGTAATGATTCAGTGAATAATCGAGTTCTTTGTTTTTTTATAGAGAATTGACCCGGAATCTGTTATTCCTCCAAGGATCGAACAGCTCTGCTTGCTACATGACTGCCTTCAAAAAATGGGAGATATGCAGGTGAATTCTTCTAGAATGATTATGAAAAAAGCATTACTCAATCTTCTTTTTAATTATATATAAACAAATTCTAGGACTAAATTTGACAATTGTATAGTAAAATACAGAACATTTTATCAGTATGACGATTAAGTGGATCACAATTGCACTTACTTCTCATGCTTTTTGTTTTTAGAGATCTATACATTGGGGTGAGGTAGCTTTTCATGAGGCCTTTCAGGGATACAAGAAGGCCACAACAAGCCCTCAGAAAGATGAGTGGTCAGCTGTGCTAAACCAGATCTGGTCATCGCTTCTCAAGTAAGAAAATGCCACACATTGCAACTGAAAAATTTTATTGGGATATTAAGCTGCAGATCTGTAGCTGGCTGGTCTGGAAAAAAATGGTATGGATGACCAGAGAGTTAGTGCCAACCATATAAAAAAGTGTTAAAAACTGCATATTTATTGTTCACAAAAAAAGTGCACTGTTTCTCAGTTTCGTAAAACTAATAGAATTTATTGTTATTTTCATAAGAAATCTGGAGAAGCCTGAGTGTTTGAAGGCACTGAGCGAGCCTCGTAAGAATCGTTTGACCTCTGACCTGGTGAGTGTGATTGACATCATGATGTCGGTACCAGAGAAGGCGACTGACATGCCCATAGGAAGTGTGTTACCTTGGATGATCCTCTACTCCATCATCAACTGGTAAGTTGATCATTCTTAATTGTAGAATATACTGAGTTGAAAATAATAGGTTTTTGTTTTTTACTGGATTCAGTACCAATGATATTCCCAGGGAAAATATCTGCCCATTTGTTTTCTTGTGAAGCTAAATAATATTTTGCAGCTCACTGTTACTTCTATGTCTTTAAGTTTGATGTGGACATACATGTATGTGAATTTTACTTCACGTCTCCATAAATTTTATAAATGGGATTAGAAAATGTTCTTTAAACTAAGTACCCTCTCTCTATACATGATTTAAAATAAAATATGATGTTTAAAAAATGAAAATTTTGATTTGCAATGGATTGAAATGAACAAAAAAATAAGAAAAACACTGATTTTAAATAATGAATGTGATGATGGCATATAGAACTGAAAACCATTGTTATGGCCCCCTTCGAAGAAGAGAGGGCATATTGCTTTGCTGCTGTCTGTCCATCTGTCAGTCCATTTAGTTTCCCTTCATTTTCTCCATAACCGTTGCACATACTGAAATGAAATTTGGTATATAGATTTATAAGAATATCTAAGTTAAGTTAAGTTTCGAGTACGATCAAGCCCAAAGGTATGCCCCTTGTACTTAGAAAAGTTCCAGTTATTTGCAGCTTCTGTTCAGTTTCTTCGCAGGGGTTGCACATATTGAAATGAAATTTAGTATGCAGATTTATCAGATGAATATCTAGGCCAATTTTTATTTTTGGTACGATCAATCAACTTGGGACAGATTTATGCCCTTTGGACTCAGAAAAATTCCATTTTTTTGGGACAAGGAGGGCATAAGTGTTTTATAAACATTTTTTTAAACTCTTTACTTTGTTAAGAACTTGAACAACTATTTTTCTATTTTTTTTCCAAAGGGAGGAAGAGAAATTCTTTGCCCTTCAGAAAGAACAAGAATCTACAGATATGAGTAGTCAAGAGAATCTGCCCTCTTCACTGATGCTCCTCAATGTCTCACATGAATATCTGGGAAGGTAGGGTTGAAATACCAAGAAATCAAGCCTTGGTATCTCAAACTCGGAAAATAATGTAAAATTTTATGTATTTAAGAGTTTGAGGTGTCAAAGCCAAAACTTGAAACTGAGCTTAAGCATGAGAAAGCTGTAGTTTTATTGTTTGTAGCTCAAGTTTAATATATTTATATGTGTCTACTAGGAATTTTTGAAATATGAATTCAGGTATATCAGTTTAATGAATTGAATTTTGATTTAAAAGGGACATAAGATCATCACTACCTTACATGTATATTATTACAGCCATTCATGGTGCACAAAGTCAGATGGGCAATTCCTGATATTTTTCATGGGTGTCTTGGAAAAGAAACTCAAGGACAATTCTAAGTACACAGAGGACCTCAGGCAGATGTATGAGCAATGTGTGTACTGTCTTTACGGTCATCCCAACAAGAAGGGCAAGGCCAAACACCTAGCTGACCACAATGCCCCACCCCTTTCCCTCACCCTCCCTCAGGCTGTACAGCTCTTTGAGTGTTACAAGCCAAAGAACCTGCCAGAGTTTGACAGTTTTAAGACAGACACTGTTTCTGCAGAGGTAAGAAGTGCAGATTTTGATAGCCAAGGAAATGTCAAAATTTTTTATCTGAACAAATACAGTCTTCCATTTGATATATGTTTTTAGAGTGGGGAACTTCTTTTATGAAAAACTACACAAAAAAACTGTATTAATTTGGGTATCAATAGTTTAATAATTTATTTTTGACCAGTTGTACCTTGACTGTTAAAAGTCAAGTTAATTTCAAAAACATACTCTAATGTTTGGTGAATACTGTTGATTTCATTTTAGCTGGAGTCTCTTTTAAGAAGAATTATACAGCTTATACCTGAGAAGGAAAAACCAGGTAGGGCACTCTTTCTTCATGTTTAAATCAAACAGATCATTTTAAGCAATGTGGTAAAATAATATTGTAAGTTATTTTTTTTTTAGCTAACAGACTGGATAAAGTTCAGGACTACATTGATGGCACGAGCAGTGTTGTTCCTACCCCTGTGAAAGGACTAGAGTTCTTGTAAGTGACAGCTTTATAAAATAAATGGTGATCTTTTATCTGTAGCAATACTTTTAGCATACCTGCACTATACAATGTACATGGACACACTAATTCGAAAGAAAGTATGGGGTACTTCATGTTTGCATCAGCATTTTTTTTTTTTACAGAACTATAACGAAAGAAATCTATTACCTACTGGCAGACTATTACTTCAAGAACAATGAACATCCGTAAGTAACCAACACGTTATTACTTGCTTTTGAATTGTTGTCACCTTGTTTACTTCTTCATTTCAATTTTGTTTATTATTTTGAATATTTTCTCAAATTGCAGGAAGGCCATCAAATTTTACATGTATGATATCTGTGTTTGTCCACTAAGACTGGACTCCTGGGCAGGACTGGCCCTTGCTAGGATGTACCAGCTGGAACAGAAACTCAACTCGGTAAGTGTAACAAAGACTGCTATCTTGATAAAAATCATAAATGTCTCGTTTAATTGCTTTGAGGTTCTAAATGTACAGTTAGGCTTTTTAGCGAGACAGATATTCTTGTGAATATGACCAAAAAACCCTCCCCCCAAATTGACCCCATTCTTTGATGTTTTCTATTCTATTTTTAGACTGATCTAAAACTAGATGTGTCACTGAGGAAGAGGTCTGGGGCAGCACTGAGGTGTTTTGACAGAGCGGTAGACATTGAGGATGCTTATGGTAAACTATGGATGGAGTATGGATCTTTGTCTTACCAGTTACATGCTCACTCCTCCAGGCAACTCGGCTTTCATCAGGTTACATTTCTTTTTACAATAAACATTTCTTATTCTTTAAGGCATTTTCTTTTGTAAAGAACATGGGCTACTCATTTTATGAGTTTTCATCAGCTTTTGATTATCAAAACCAAGTCAAATGCTGAACAGAGGAAAACTTGGCATATCCTAAAGAAAATTCTTATTTTCATCTTTATTTCATGTACATGTAATTCAAGAACATATTTATATATTTTCTTTTATGTAAAAATCACCTTGTGATCTGACATTTGTCTGTTTATCTATCTGTACATACTGTAACTAATATACAATTAATTACCCCTTTTGAGGTCAACATGGTGAAATAAGGACCCGACACCTTGCCCACGAGGTGACCTGACATGAGCGTAGCGGCCGAGGTCAGGGAAGGTCATCGAGTGGGCCAGGTCGAGGGTCCTTATTTCTCCATGTTGAACTCAAAAGGGGTAATCAATTGTTTTATTATACCGATATATATATTGAAAAGTATGAATCTCTAACCATTATCAATTTTTTCTTTGATCGGGATTGGGATTCAATACACTCCGTTTACATTGACGTCTGCAAGTCGTGTAAGTTTTTGCATCATGATTTACTGATTAAAACAATATTTGATTGATAGCGACATACAACTAGCGAATACTTTTCCTCTGCCGAGTCAAAATCTAACGCATAATTTTACTCTTTACAGAGCCGCTTCTACATTCCAGAACTGAATTGAAACGATATTTTGATATGAGTAAACCATTTAATTTAACAATAAAATTTTGCCGTATTCTGTATGATACAAAATTTTATCGTTAATTTAAACAGTTTACTCATGTCAAAATATCGTGTATGGTAATGCAAAACAGACCATGCACAATTTATAAACATGTTGTTTTCTTGAATTATTATTATTTTATGCATTAACTTTACTCAAAAAGGAATTTTTGATTGAGAGGTCATTATTTAGCAGTCATTAATAATAATGAACGGGTCATTATATCCCACGTGCAATGATTCCTAGGTCATTATTGCTGTAAACAGTACCATTTGGAGTCATTGTTGTGTTTTAAAGTTTCCTTACCAGCCAATCAAATTCGAGTATTATCAATAGAGGTATAATATAATATATTATTGACCAGCAATTCCGTATTTCAGGAAAAGAAAGAAGAATGTGACGTGGATTTTCTTCCCTCAGACTTGCAGCAGTCAGCGTCCAGCTTTAAGCTTGAGATGTTGGACAAGGCGTTCATGTGTTATAAGAGTGCCTCCCAGTGTGTAGACGAGGAGAGTGAGGAATGGCTGACAGACTACATGATGGGGAAGTGTCTGGAGAAAATGCATAAACCACCCCTGGAGTATCTGAAATACTATAAACAGGTCAGATGTCATAGGTGATAAGAATAAAGTTTGACAATTATATGTGTAATTTACCATCTATGCGAAGATGGCAGTGATATAAAAGGGGAGAACTCTTGAATTTTGCCAAGTTTAATTTTTTTGGTCTCGTTAAAATGAATCTATGAATAATTAGAGAGACACAAAAAGGGGATCTGTAATGTAGCTATGAAATCTTAATAAAATTGTCCTGATTTTACTTTACCAAAGACTCACTTTTCTGGAGAAAGAAAGAAATATTTGAGTAGTACAAGGTAAAACATTCCATATTAAAATATTTTTTTTTGTCTTTTGATGCCTTCTGTGATGACTATTTCAGGCTGCTGCTGCTCTACATGAAGAGAATGCCACTTATCCAAAAAAGATTGCCTATGCTTACACAGCCCATACTTCCCCCAGGCTAGCAGTAGAGGCCTTGGAGGCAAGTATTAAAAAAATTATATTTGAATACAGAAAATTTGGAATAATTATTGGAGAATTTTTAAAGTCTCAAATACAGTTAAAATTCATTATTTTGGACATTGATGTCTTCAAATACAGATAATGAGGTTTTGCTGTATATCATCTCAATTTGTATGGGTGAGTTTATGGTTAATGGGTGCTATCTTTTTACAGATGTTCTACCGCCTTCATGTGTCTATCCTGAAGCTACTGCTCAGTGGCTCCCACACTGAGGATTACCACACCTACTCTGACTACATAGATGAAGCAGCTAATTCTCCATTTGCCAGAGGATGTGAGAAAAAGGATGAGGAGTCTGGAAAGTATGAGATTTTTATACCCCACGCAACAAGTCGCGTGAGGTATAATGTTTTTGACCCGACCGTCAGTCAGTCAGAGTGTCAGTCAGTCCGTCAGTCCTGTTTTTTTGTCAGCACAACACCTCATAAACCGCTGCACAGAATTTCGTCAAACTTTGCAGTTATTTAGAACACAATGTGTAGATGTGCATTTTACCAGATAATTCCAATTCCTTTATTTTTTCCGGGCATTTCCACACTTTTTAACTTAGGTTTTTGGCCATCCCTTGAATATAGACATGAACACTTTGTCAGCACAACTCCTCTTAAACTGCTGCTCAGAATTTCGTCAAACTTTGCAGATATTTAGGACACAATGTATAGATTTGCATATTACCAGGAAATTCCTAATCCTTTATTTTTCTAGGAATCTCGGCACTTTTCAACTTAGATTTTTTGGCCATATCTTGAATATAGAAATGAACAGTTTGTCAGCGCAACTCCTCTTAAACCGCTGCACAGAATTTCGTCAAGCTTTGCAGATATTTAGGATACATTGTGTAGATGTGCATATTACCAGGAAATTCCGATTCCTTTATTTTTCTGGGAATTTCAGCACTTTTGAACATAGATTTTTGTCCATACCTTGAATATAGATATGAACATTTTGTCAGCGCAACTCCTCATAAACTGCTTCACAGAATTTTGTCAAACTTTGCAGATATTTAGGACACAATGTATAGATGTGCATATTACCAGGAAATTCGTAATCCTTTATTTTTCTGGGAATTTCGGCACTTTTTAACTTAGATTTTTGGGGATATCTTGAATATAAAGATGGACAGTTTGTCAGCGCAACTCCTCATAAACCGCTGCACAGAATTTCATCAATCTTTGCAGATATTTAAGACACAAATGAATGTGTAGATGTGCATATCATAGGGAAATTCCAATTCCTTTATTTTTTTCCGGGATTTTCAGCACTTTGAGTTTTGGGGGAGCATGGCGTATGTGAGCTTGCTCACTTTTTCTTTCATTATAATTTATAGCCACATTCTGAGAGTGTGAATATGTACATCTGGCTTTGCAATATGGTCATTTTTTATAGAATAATGCTTCATATATAAACTAACATACAGTCTGTATTAATATATCTTAAAAAAAGCCTGTTTGAAGTCATACATGCACATGTATATATACATTGTTTCTGGTTGAAAAAGCATATTAATTTAAAGCTTTAAGTAGGAATGGCCTTGTACATATCAGACTTGTTTTTTTTTTTTGTTTATTTTTGTGTATTCTAGTCAAGTTAAGATTTTGTTATTTACATATATTTCAGTGTATCCATGGATTATGAGGATACAAAGACCGACAAAACCACCACAAACCAACAAGACCACACCTACTCCAAATCCAAGGATTCCACAAACATGATGGACAATGTCAATGAAAATCAGGTGAATATTGATTCCGCGGACAACAGTATGGATGAAAAGCTGGAAGACTCGGCAAACAACAGCCGAGACAGCAGCGAGTATTTCCCTAGTGCGGAGCCTTCCGAATCTTCTCAGGATGTTTGGGGTAGCATAGGAGGAGAAGACAGTTTGCTGAACTTTTCTGGCGCAACCTTTAAACATCAGGAACCATCTGCGGTACCCAAGACAATTGAATTGTCAGCTGAGATGCTGGATTCTTGTGGTGGAAAAATGCCAGATTCTGAAGACAGTGCAGCTTCAAAGAGTGGTAATACGGAACAGTTGACTAAACAGAAGTCTTTAGGTTTTATCCCTTCTGAGATTGTTGAGGAATCAAAATCCAGTTCTAAATTAAATTTGGCCAAAGATTCATCTATGTCCAAAACTGGAGTGGACATCATTGAAATTTTCTCCTCACCAGAACCTATTGATCCCAAAGTCCAGCCAAAGTTTTTCACTCCAGATAATCAGCAATCTTCCTTAGAGTCTGATGATAAAATGGAAATTGTCACACCATGCAATGTACAAAATGTAGAAGTGAAACCTGAAATAGGCATTGATGGTGGTTCAACTCCTGTCTTAAAAGCAGCGGGAGATGTTCAACCCATGGACAGTTTGGAAAAGAATGAGGAGGGAAAAGTCAGTGAGAGCATGAAAGAATCTGGGGATAACCCATTGGCAGTGAAAGAGAGTATGTATTCTGTTGTCTTAATTTTAAAGAGTTATTGCAGTTGTGATTGCTGTAGATAAGTTCTTTTGTTTGCAAAAATATTAGTGGTCTTTTACATTGAAGTGAGCATTTCATCATCAAAAGTTTTGATTGATAATCTTTCCAGGAGATGAAAACAAAGGAAAAGAGTCAGAGACAACAAGTGAGACAGAAAGATCCAAAGAATCTGATAAGAGCTCACCAGACATAACTAAGGCCAAACCTGAATCTACTAGTTCAAGCATAAAGACAGAGGAACCCTCCAAAGGAAATCCTCCTCAGGAAGGAGGAAAAGGGACAAATTCAGTTAACCCTGTAGAAGCAGGAGGGGGTGACACTGATACACCAAAACCTGAAAAAGAAAACAAGAATGAAGAGTCTAGCAAATCTGAGGAAAAAGAGAAACCCAAACTGGAGGGGACTGCCCTGCGTAAAGATCTGATTGACAAGTGTATGGCTGCTTTACACCTGTGTTTGTCCAGATTTCCAACCCACTACAAATCTACTTATAGACTGGCTTATGTGTATTTCTACTCAACTTTTCACAAGGTAAAGGAACTTGATTGTGCATTGAAGTGGTTCAAAACTATTTTGACATGACTGGTCAAAGGATTATTTACTGGAAAAGGTGCTAAAATGCATCCGTTCCAACAGTGATTCTTAAACTTTTAAGCAGAACAAATGTGATCATGGTATGTCTTATGAAGCACTTTGAGTTTTAGTCATAGGAGACACATTTAAATGGTTATTAATCAAGAAGTGCATTTATAAGCAAATTTTATGAAATGTTTACTCATTTTTCATTTGTCATCAGAACCTGCAGTATGCACGAGATCTCTTGCTAGGAAATCCCCAGTGGCAGTCCCTTAGTTACATGCCAGCACAGGGACTCTTCAGTGAGAGAAAAGTCACCAACTTTTTCCAGGTGAGCATTATAATGAGTACTGCTAGTCATTTAAAAACTATTGAATTACCTTCTCTTAACTTTGCAAGATTTCATAATTTTAAATGAAGCATATTATTCCAAGCAGGGAAATAAAAAAAAAAGTTGTTATGTGGGGTTTTTAACAGCTATATAAATATATATGCACTTTCTTCAATTCTGGGTCAATAGTCTCATTAATAGGACAGTTCAAGTTTTGAAATTTCTTTAGCAATAAAAAAACTAATTCTCTAAATTCCATAAAAGAGAAAAGGAAATTGAGAGACTGTGAAATAATTTACCAGTGCTCATGAATTTCTTTTTGTAATAAAACAATTTTGATGTATTGATTAATTTTCTCCCAGGGTACGTGGAGACTTCCTATCAGTGAGGTGGAGAGGGCGGGGAGTTTTGCCACACACCTTAACAGGGCGGTCCTCCTCCTACTGAAGGTACTACTGGAACAGAAAGACGTCCCCATGTTGTACCATCTACATCTACAGCTAAACAGGACCCCAGACGCAGAAAAGTAAATCATTAAGTAGAAAAATCTGCACAATGGCATATAAATGTTGTTAGGAATGGAAGGGGAGGGATTATTTATGAAAATTAATATGTATCAAGACTTCATCAAGCTAAATGCTCTCTCAAAATCTGACTTGCAGTTTTGTTGAAAACTGCTATTGTTAAAGAGGGTTTTTACACTAAACATAATTGATAGCTGTGCAGTTTGACAAAGCATTTAAAAAAATAAAAGCAAAACACATAAAGATTGACTTGTGCTTTCAATTTTTATACAAAAATTCTTCATATTTTCAGGAAGTACCTTCGTGATGCTGAGAGGCTACATTACTCAAAACTGGCTCTTGATTATTGCATGACTGCAATAAAGAACAGACTTCCAGAAATACGAGAATTACAGGACACTGAAAAAGCCATTAAACTGTTGATGGAAACATATAGAATTTATAACTATGGAATTTCTAAAATGAAGGCAACCATTGGACCCAGAATTAGTAATCTGCTGGCAGCAACATTCCGGGCAGTCATGAAAGAAGAGGTAAATATTTTGGGATTGTGAAATGAAATTTTAAGCATATCCTACGTAGTAATTACTCTGGACTTCTATTTGGGTGATAACTGCATTTACAGAATATAAGCTAACATTTAGACTAGTGGCCAAGGATTAATTTTGTTTACTGTCACATTTAAATCTCAAGCGATGTTGACCGCAGAAAAAACACAGATCATAAAGTATTATTATTTTTTAGGTTTCTCCAGATAAACCTCTGTTTGAACAAGCAATCAAATTTTGTCAACTTTATCATCAGCAGAACACACCACAAAGACAGGTACAGAAAACATTATTCAATGATGCTGTAAATCCATCTTGTAAACCATGCAAAAAATAACGGAATGATGAGAAAAATTAAATTTTAACTACTTTTCTGTTAAATAAATGCTTTTATCTAATTTATTCAAATTATTAAAGCATACTTAAAAAAGTATATTCTCCCTGTAACATGTAATCATTAAATGATTAACAAATGTCATGTTTAATTTTGTATTCACAATTACTGTAGACGTACTTTTTTCCACGGGGTTATAATTCCACGGAATCTCAATTTCTGTTTAATCCGCAGGTAGAAAATTACGCGGATATTCTAGATTATCACTATATGCCTTACATTTATATTAAGTACGCTTGGACAAATTTCCGCGGAAAATTTGTGACCGCGTACATAGCGTAAATTAATACCACACGGAAAAAAGTACTTCTACAGTGAGTGATCCTGTTCCATTTTTTTGCAGGGCACCGTTCGATCAAGTATGGATAGCAGTTTTTCTGATTCCTCCTTGTTTTCCCCTGACAAACTCTTAACAAATCCCTTCAGACCTTCAGGAACACCTCAATCTCCTGTAAAAACACTTCAGAGCAATCTCTCATCCACACAGCAAACAAAATCTCAACAGTCCCCTCTCACTTCAGTACAAGTACCTTCTAGTAAACCAGAGACACCTCATTCACCAGCCAAGTTACCTCAAACAGGCACTTCAATGCGATCCAGTAAACCACAGGCAAATCCATCAACGTTAAAGTTTTCACAGATTCCAACTTCTGTACCACCAAAACCCAAACAGCCTGTAGTTCAGTTAACCAAATTACAAATGACTCCTCAAACTCTTTCAGAGCTTAATAAAGAATCTTCAAGGGAGGAGCCTAAAATTAATGCATCCACACTTCTTGGTGGTGCACAGAGCAAAACTGGTGCTTGTCTGTCAACAGGATCTAGACAAATGCCTTCTGGTATTTCTGCTATTTCCTTGATATCTTCCTTGATAGAGGATGGTATCAACAAAGCTAACAAGCAGAAGACTGAAAAAGCTGGAAGAAATGGAAGCGTGGCTGATGAACCTCCAGCTCCAGTGAATACTCCTGTCACTCCAAAAATGACTACAGCATCTTCCTCCCCTAGGCCTTCCTCTGCAGCACCTCGCCCACCTCTTCATTTGATGCCTCCCAAGAAGAGGGCACTGATGTCTGAGGAGGTGATTGAAATTTTGTCTTCTGATGAAGATGAGGAGGCAATGGAGACCACACCAACAGGCAAATCAGCCAGCCAAAAGGAAGATATAAAGCAATTGTCAGGGGAAGATATGGAAATGGAAGATAGTGCAAATCAAAGTCAGGCTGAAGAAAAAAAAGGGGGGAGAGATGGGGAAAATGTTAGTGCTACTTTAGTGACTGAGAACACTGAAAGTGAAAGTAAAGATAATCCAAGTTCTAGTAAAGTAACAGAGGAAAGTGAGTTAAAGATGGAGGCAGGTGCTGATTCAGGAAAGGATGAAATGTCGGATGTGAAGGATGTACCTTATCTTGATCCATCAACAGGATTGTTTGTGACAGACTCGGACAGTCAGAGCAGTGTATACGTAGCCAATCCAGAGAACATCTCATTCGAGGATGAACTAATGGTGGAAGATGACTGAAGCCCATTATTTTGTCCTGTGTGTACCTTTGACTGACTTACTGTGTAGGCTCTGTGAACTTGTCATATATATTTTCCAGTCTTGTTGTATGGTAGAGGATAGAGAAATGAATGAGAATGAACCAATTTGGTTAATGTTTGTAGAATTGAATGGAGGATTGAAGTTTATGACTGTATGTGCTCTGGTCAGCTATGAAAAAGAGTGAAGAGAATAATAAGTATGTTTCTGAAAGATGTTGAGACAAGGAAGAGTAAAAATATTGGTAAAACTGAAAGGAAAGTGATAGGATGCTTAGTACATGTACTAGTACATGTATATGCTGAATGTTTGGTTGTACTAGATAAATGTCCAAGTATTAGTGTGTGTATCTACATTGTAATGTAGAAGCACCATCGGTATAATACAGTTGCAGAATTTTGTTGTAAGATGGTCAAATGTAAACGGGGGCTGTTTTAAAGTGAAGCAATCATGTGTATTTTCAAATTTCAATTTTCAAAATATCGTTCAGTAAATGTGGTTAAAATTATAATTTGTATTTTAATAAATAGAAAATTGACAAAGATACAGCTTAATTTTAAAATGAGGAGAATACATTATTTCCCAGTGTCCTGCACATCTATGTATAATGGACTTCATTTGAAATATGAATGCAAGAAAGGTTCTTGAAATAATTCCAAGAAATATTAGCGTATGTGGTACATAGTTGGAGTGTCCTTGTAGGTGTGTTTACAATATATTTTAAGCCTCTATTCTATAGCTAGCTCTTTGTTTTATTGTACCCTATTGTTTTCTCTATGTGTCTTGATATGACAAAACATGCATATTCAGTTTTAAAAAAAAGGGGATACTTTAAAATACTGTAAACGTATTACATTTGGCTATGTATTCTTTTTAGCGCCTTTGGCGGAAAGAAACATATGCTAATTCAAGTACAACGCTAAATGTCTTGCGCATATACTCATGTATATGAAAATGAATAAAAGCGCTAAATCAAATCTATGCTAACCTGTTCAAAAATCAATTTCCACCAAATATCGTACACACCAAATATAATACATTTACAGTAATGTTTGATTGCTCTCTCCCAATTCAAATTTATAAAGAAATGAGTCGGTAAGAAAGGGATTTTTTTTTTAAATGAAAATCTTTAAATCAATGCTGAATTTTCAAAATCTATTTTTCAGAATGCATAAAAAATGATAATTAGTTCCAGGAGATTGAAAAAAGTTTTGAATCGGGCTTTAAGCCTGTTGGTTGGAAGAGGGCAACAAAACAAGTTTTTTAAAGATGGCCTAAAAGTTTCTCGCTTGAAAACAATACCAAATTTAAATGACTATAAAAAGAAAACTTGAAAAGATATCATTAAAAAATAAATTGTGTTATAACCCACAAAGTCTAAACTATCACAGAATAAAATTTCAACTATTTTGGTGACAGGGCATATTTTGGCACTTCGTGGCCTTAGCTCTTTTTGCTCTGATATCTGCTTTTATACAGTGGAACATCTACAGTGGAACCTTATTAAAACTGACACCTTTATGGGCCGATACACACGGTAAGGCATGCCTTATAAGTCATGGACCTTAAGTTCCCTTACAAGTCCGAGTTACAAATACAACACTGCTTCAAGAAATACCTATTCAGACTGACTTGAGTGCATCAACAATGCACACACCTATCTTGGGAGATCATGGTCAGCATATTCAACTGAAAATACAATATCACTAACAATCAAACGATAAAGTAAACTTACCATCTTCCAATTGTGTACTGCTAGTAAGTAATCTTCAATCGCTCTTGTTAATTTCTTGGCTTCTATCACAGCCAAAACTGAGTCCTATAGCGCAGACAAAACCAGGGACATTAGCAACTGGTACCACGTACTAGCGTTGTAAACTTATTCAGACTGTGTGCGGTCTTAGTGAGTGCATCAACAATGCACACACCTCTCGTGGTTGGCCATACTCATCATATTCAACTGAAAATACATCACTAACAATCAGACAATAAAAAAACTTACCATCTTCAAGTCGTGTACTGTTGGCAAAAATACTTCAATCGGTGTTGTTTCTTGGCTTCTATCACAGCCAAGATTAAGTACAAGCCACAGTCTGAAGTTTTATGAGTGAGTGGCTCAAATCAGTTCTTTAATCCACTGGGTTTGTCTATAGCATGAACAAAACCAGGGACATTAGCAACTGGTATACCACATACAAGCACTACCTATTGCAGACTGTGACTTGAATGCGTCAACAGTGCACACACATTTCTTTCAATCAAACAATAAAATAAACTTACCATCTTCAAGTCATCTTCTGTTGGCAAGAATAATCAACCGGTGTTGTTTTTTAGCTTCTATCACAGCCAAGACTAAGTACAAGTCACAGTCTGAAGTTTTATGAGTGAGTGGCTCAAATCAGTTTTTTAATCCACCGGGTTTGTCTATAGCATAGACAAAACCAGGGACATAAGCAACTGGTATACCACATACAAGCACTACCTATTGCAGACTGTGACTTGAGTGCATCAACAATGCACACACATTTCTAACAATCAAACAATAAAATAAACTTACCATCTTCAAGTCATCTTCTGTTGGCAAGAATACTTCAACCGGTGTTTTCTTTTTAGCTTCTATCACAGCCAAGACTAAGTACAAGTCAAGTCTGAAGTTTTATGAGTGAGTGGCTCAAATCAGTTTTTTAATCCACCGGGTTTGTCTATAGCATAGACAAAACTAGGGACATTGCCAACTGGTATACCACATACAAGCACTACCTATTGCAGACTGTGACTTGAATGCATCAACAGTGCACACACATTTCTTTCAATCAAACAATAAAATAAACTTACCATCTTCAAGTCATCTTCTGTTGGCAAGTATACTTCAATCGGTGTTGTTTCTTGGCTTCTATCACAGCCAAGATTAAGTACAAGTCACAGTCTGAAGTTTTATGAGTGAGTGGCTCAAATCAGTTTTTTAATCCACCGGGTTTGTCTATAGCATAGACAAAACCAGGGACATTGGCAACTGGTATACCACATACAAGCACTACCTATTGCAGACTGTGACTTGAGTGCATCAACAATGCACACACATTTCTAACAATCAAACAATAAAATAAACTTACCATCTTCAAATCTTCTTCTGTTGGCAAGTATACTTCAATCGGTGTTGTTTTTTGGCTTCTATCACAGCCAAGATTAAGTACAAGCCACAGTCTGAAGTTTTATGAGTGAGTGGCTCAAATCAGTTTTTTAATCCTCTGGGTTTGTCTATAGCATAGACTAAACCAGGGACATTAGCAACTGGTATACCACATACAAGCACTACCTATTGCAGACTGTGACTTGAGTGCATCAACAATGCACACACATTTCTAACAATCAAACAATAAAATAAACTTACCAACTTCAAGTCATCTTCTGTTGGCAAGAATAATCAACCGGTGTTGATTTTAAGCTTCTATCACAGCCAAGACTAAGTACAAGTCACAGTCTGAAGTTTTATGAGTGAGTGGCTCAAATCAGTTTTTTAATCCACCGGGTTTGTCTATAGCATAGAAAAAACCAGGGACATTGGCAACTGGTATACCACATACAAGCACTACCTATTGCAGACTGTGACTTGAGTGCATCAACAATGCACACACATTTCTAACAATCAAACAATAAAATAAACTTACCATCTTCAAGTCATCTTCTGTTGGCAAGAATAATCAACCGGTGTTGTTTTTTAGCTTCTATCACAGCCAAGACTAAGTACAAGTCACAGTCTGAAGTTTTATGAGTGAGTGGCTCAAATCAGTTTTTTAATCCACCGGGTTTGTCTATAGCATAGACAAAACCAGGGACATAGGCAAGTGGTATACCACATACAAGCACTACCTATTGCAGACTGTGACTTGAGTGCATCAACAATGCACACACATTTCTAACAATCAAACAATAAAATAAACTTACCATCTTCAAGTCATCTTCTGTTGGCAAGTATACTTCAATCGGTGTTGTTTCTTGGCTTCTATCACAGCCAAGATTAAGTACAAGCCACAGTCTGAAGTTTTATGAGTGAGTGGCTTAAATCAGTTTTTTAATCCACAGGGTTTGTCTATAGCATGAACAAAACCAGGGACATTAGCAACTGGTATACCACATACAAGCACTACCTATTGCAGACTGTGACTTGAATGCATCAACAGTGCACACACATTTCTTTCAATCAAACAATAAAATAAACTTACCATCTTCAAGTCATCTTCTGTTGGCAAGAATAATCAACCGGTGTTGTTTTTTAGCTTCTATCACAGCCAAGATTAAGTACAAGCCACAGTCTGAAGTTTTGTGAGTGAGTGGCTCAAATCAGTTTTTTAATCCACCGGGTTTGTCTATAGCATAGACAAAACCAGGGACATTGGCAACTGGTATACCACATACAAGCACTACCTATTGCAGACTTTGACTTGAGTGCATCAACAATGCACACACATTTCTAACAATCAAACAATAAAATAAACTTACCATCTTCAAGTCATCTTCTGTTGGCAAGTATACTTCAATCGGTGTTGTTTCTTGGCTTCAATCACAGCCAAGATTAAGTACAAGTGACAGTCTGAAGTTTTACGAGTGAGTGGCTCAAATCAGTTTTTAATTATAATCCACCGGGTTTGTCTATAGCATAGACAAAACCAGGGACATTAGCAACTGGTATACCACATACAAGCACTACCTATTGCAGACTGTGACTTGAGTGCATCAACAATGCACACACATTTCTAACAATCAAACAATAAAATAAACTTACCATCTTTAAGTCATCTTCTGTTAGCAAGTATACTTCAGTGGGTGTTGTTTCTTGGCTTCTATCACAGCCAAGATTAACTACAAGCCACAGTCTGAAGTTTTATGAGTGAGTGGCTCAAATCAGTTTTTAATCCACCGGGTTTGTCTATAGCATAGACAAAACCAGGGACATTAGCAACTGGTATACCACATACAAGCACTACCTATTGCAGACTGTGACTTGAGTGCATCAACAATGCACACACATTTCTAACAATCAAACAATAAAATAAACTTACCATCTTTAAGTCATCTTCTGTTGGCAAGTATACTTCAATGGGTGTTGTTTCTTGGCTTCTATCACAGCCAAGATTAACTACAAGTCACAGTCTGAAGTTTTATGAGTGAGTGGCTCAAATCAGTTTTTTAATCCACCGGGTTTGTCTATAGCATAGACAAAACCAGGGACATTAGCAACTGGTATACCACATACAAGCACTACCTATTGCAGACTGTGACTTGAGTGCATCAACAATGCACACACATTTCTAACAATCAAACAATAAAATAAACTTACCATCTTCAAGTCATCTTCTGTTGGCAAGTATACTTTAATCGGTGTTGTTTCTTGGCTTCTATCACAGCCAAGATTAAGTACAAGTCACAGTCTGAAGTTTTATGAGTGAGTGGCTCAAATCAGTTTTTTAATCCTCTGGGTTTGTCTATAGCATAGACTAAACCAGGGACATTAGCAACTGGTATACCACATACAAGCACTACC